GTAAGTCCGCTATAAGGCGCATGCGTAGGTTCGCTTTGACCTCAACCAATTGAATGGATATTCCTTGTTTGACATGATTTTCAATGTAACATTAAAGACAATAAGTTATCTTCAGTTTTCTTCAATTATGGCCGAAAAAAAAGAAAGATATCATGCCTTTACTTTAATTTTACTTTCAGGATAACAAACCTGGAGACTGCAAGGAGCTGTCGAATGCAACGAGTCCAGGAGTTCTCCAGGTGTCGATCACAAACCTCGTAATAACTGATCCATTGGAGGCATCTACTTTATAAAGGTTGCCCCCGAATGAACTAACGAATAAATATGACGAGGTGAAGGTAACTCCCCAGAGATTTGAATGAGGCAGATAATTTAAGACTACCCTTCTGTTATTTCCACTATAATCGACGGATTCTAAAACACCCCTCCGGTATTCCAACCAGAAAGCAAGTTTGCTTCGTCTGTCAAGAGTGATGCCAGCAAATTGAAAAAATTTGGAAGCTACCAGAGGGGTGCAATGTGTTCCGTCCAAAGTTGATTTCATGACTTTTGAAAAATTGCTTGAAACTGATTCCCACTCAGTCCAAAACATCACTCTGTGGAGAGACCATGGCACATATCAATATTTTGGTTGAGTGAATGTCTACCATCAAGAATTCCCCTGAAACTTGAATTCAAAATGTTTTCAATGTTAGGTGCAGTAAATCACAGATGAGGTCAAAATGTGGTAAGGGTCCTGCTTGACCCAGTGTTAACTGTACTTTTTCTACCCTGCATTCTTTGACTGTTAAAGAAATGGGAGGTGTTCCTATGCTTGTTGTTGTCTCCATACCTCCCCGAGGTAAAATCTTTTAATCGAATTCAGCTGTAATTTTGAAGCTTGAACTAATTATCTTGGGGAGGAAAGGGTGTGTGGATGCAAAACGCATAGTCAGTTTTGTCCCACCTCTTTAACCCTGCGATAACAGGCAGCCTTATTGCTACCCCCACTCAACGCCACATTAACATATATATACAGCAACATTTTTGAAGGGGGTTGCTATTAGATTACGGCTTCTTTCTCTAATAGATATTTACCCCTCGTGTGGGTCGAGAACAATTCCTATTGGGTAATCTGAGATTGAGCAATTGAAGACACGTCTGTTATTCCCCTCGAGGTCTGATACTGATATGCTGCGATTTCTCACGTCTGTCCAATACAACTGCATTGAGTTCCACTCCACGGCAAGCCCGTAACAGTCCGCGATCACTTGGATCACTGTAATGTTTGTGCCGTCCATATTTGAGCGCTTGATGTTTCTCTCGCGTGTATCACTCCAAAACATGTAACCCAGCTCATAATGGTAGTCCACAGCCGCGGGCGACGATAAGTTAGATATGAGTGAATGACTCGCGTTGTTATTGTAATCCAAAGCCATAATTTGGTGAGAAGTTGTAACCAAGAGACATGAAGCGTTGCACGGACGGCTCAGTTCTAAGGAAAAGAAAAAAATTGCCTTAAATCAAACCCATTTGTATCCGAGATAATCGGCCAATGTCAGTCAATGTCAGTAAAATATATCTTGTGACGAATTAACAGGGATTATTGATTACTAACGGTGGATTATTTATCGCTTGTCTCGTGATGCGACCATATCTGATATCTATGGCGGGATTTTCACTGCGCACTACCACGAAGCATTACTCCGCTGTGATTGGTAAAGTTTTCTACAGCAGTGATTGACGCATTTCGATGACGTCTCTCTCAGCTGTCCGCTGTCGTGTGGCTAGTTCTTTTGATGCCGTACTTCTAATCATGAGAAAAACTAGAAATCCTTTCTAGCCTGTTCTAAACATTAAGTTTGTAAAACGGGGCGAAATAGCAAACGAAGCAATAATAGCGGAGTAGTAAAATAGCGAAGGAAGCCTGGGTAATAACGATAATAATAATAATAATAATAATAATAATAA